GCCGCGGTGTGGGGCTGGCGTGGAGGAAGGGCGGGGCTGTGCGAAGCAGAGCGAGCCTGGCCCACCTTGATTCCCTCGATGCGGAAGCCTAGCGTGGTGCTGGAGCTGATGCCTTCTCGCCACTGCATGTAGCGCGGCTTGGTGACCGCGCGCTGCGCGTGCTCCTCCTCCGTGGGCGCCGCAGGGTCCACCGCTAGCATCTTTTTGTACATGTCCTTCCGCAACTTGGGCCGCTCGCGGGCCTTGGTCAGCTCCTCTTCCAGGTAAGTCCTACGGAGGCGCAGGCGGCAGACTCACACCGGGACAGGTCGGGCACGGCCCTGGGCCCCGCCCGGTGGTCCCCGCCCCGCCCGGCCCGGCCCGGGAGCGCGCGCGTACCTGATGCCCATCTTGCAGTCAAGTACGCAGGGGCCGTCGAATCCGTCGAGCAGGTCCTGCAGCTGCAGGTAGCTCTCGCCGTCGCGCTCCACCACGCCGTGGAAGGCGGGCACGCAGCCCCGCAGCGCGTCGGCCATCAGCCGCGACAGGCAGTAGCGCTCGGGCTCCGAGCTGCGCTTCAGGATCAGCCCGCTGGTGCCCGCCGCCTTGAAACTCCCTGCAGACGGGCACCAGTTAACTCTGCCTCTCCCTCCCTCGCCCGCCCCACCCGCGCCGCCCGTGCTCACCCGTGTGCCCGGCCAGCTGCACCCAGGAGTAGCGCTTCTTGAAAGGGCTCATGACAGGCAGATTCACCATGGTCCGGATCTTCTGCCAGTGGCTTTTCTGAAAGCAACACGGTCCGGGCCTGCATGTCCAGCGTCCGTCTGGCCAATGCATAAACCCTCCCTCCTCAGGACAGGGACTCGGCCCGCCCCGCCCCACCGCCAGCAGGTAGGGCCCGATGATTCATTCATTTGTTCTCTCGGGTAAGTTTATCGTGCGCCTGTGTGGTGACACTGAGACACACAGGGTGGTGACGGATATCCAGCTCCTCGATTGTGCTGAAAAGAGCCCTGGACTTGGCGTGAGAAGGCTCAGGTTTGTACCCCAGTTCTGCAGCTCAAAAGCTGGGCGGTCAGGTGACTAAACTGCTAGGTCATTGAAGCTTTAGAACTTTTGTGAATGTGAGAATCACCTGATGACCACCCCTGTTAAAAAATGCAGATTCTTGGGTTTACCACAGGGAAATTCTGAGTAGGTCTGGGTTGGGACCAAAAATTTGCATTTTTACCAATGCCTCAGGATATTTTGGGGCCTGAGAAACAAGCCCCTGAGCATCAGTTTCTTCATCTGTAAAATGGGGAAATAACTGCTCTCACTGGGTTGTTGTGAGTAGTATATGAGGCTTGATTGTGACAAACTCTCCTCCAACCTCATTTCTTGGCATGAAGCAGAAGCTGGACAAATCTGGATTGTTTTTAAATTTATTTTGAGTGTACATTTATTAAAGCTGGGGACAGTGAAACAAGGGAGGGCATAGAATAGAAGAAGCAACGAGAGAGAGACAAGGCAGGGCTGCTTTGGTTCACTAGAAATGTTATGGAGGAGAAATAAGCCAAGGTGGGCTGCTGTCAGCTCACTGGAGAGCCAGAGAAAAGCAGCCTTGGGGGCAGATACAGGAGGTTAACCCAGGACAAGCTGCTGCTGCCCATTGCTCCCCTGGTTGCAAATCTCATGGGGTCCCTTAGAGTTTAGGAGATGCACGCCTGTGGGGGAAGAAGAGGGGAAAGAGGAAAGCACAACCAAATGTAGATTGTGGATTCATCCACTTTGGGACCATAGGTTCCTCTCATTTGGGGAGACAGATAGTCATAGAAAGAAACCTTTACAAAGGCCCAGGGCAGGGAGGACAGCCTGGCGAGATCTGAAGAAAGAATGGCTTGGGGTTTCCCAAAATCGTCTGCTATCCCTGGATGCCACATCACTCCTCACCAGCTGGCAAGACCCAGGGCACCCTTGGTCCTAATCTGGACCTAGAAACCTGAGCTTTGAAAATGGGATGCAGAGCTGAGGGCCTGTCATCTTCAATGAAACTGGGAGGGAAATGTAGATTTTGGTGTACCTCATGCCTCATGACCACTGCTTCTGCCTCCACCCAATCCTGAGGGCATCTCATACTCTGGACCTTTCCTCTTCTCACCCCAAACCCATTCTTCCTATGTCTACAGGTTTGTAGTACACAGGTTTGCTCATCCTGTCTTTTGCCTTCTCCCAGGGTGCCTGATTTTAGAGGAGTTACACATGTGTGCCCCCCACAGGGCTGGAACCCAGGAATCCAGCCTCCCTGACAGTGGGAGTTATAAGAGGGAGAGGGAGAGCTGGGGTAGTGGCCTAAATAGGGGAAGGCTGCTGACCATTAAGCCCTCTCTCATGTGGAGGAGATGGGGGTTAGTGACAGGGTGCTGGATGGGGAGTCAGGAGTTGGTTCCAGTCCAGGCTCTGTCACTTCCTAGCTGAGTGAGTCCAGCGGGAACTTCATCTGTTGTGAGCCTGTTTCTTCTGGGAATACATAGCTGCTGCCATAACACAAGCCACCATTTACTGACCGCCTACTGCATGCCAGGCACTTCTCAACCTCCACAAGACAGCATTGCTCCTGCTTTCCTACTGCAGTCCCCACATGGCACACTGGGGTGTGATCACGTGTCCAACCCCCAGGGATCTAGGGGTGTAGCCAGAAGCAGCCCACTAAAAGCATGACAGCTCTTTCAAAACTCCTTTTTTTCACTCTTTAAATACATACAAGGCTTGCATTATGCTGCATAATAACCCAAGTTTTATTATAAAACTCTCCCACCTCCAAATCCTCAAATAAAATTCTGGGAAGACGTATTCAGCAGCACCACCCTATACCCTCTTCTCCCACTCTCATTTTGAGAATAATGATAATGATGATGCACATGGACAGCAAGTGCATGAGGTGGAGGCATTACTGGCATTTTACAGAAAGAAATCAAGGCATGCCCTCACTTCCTGCCTCCAGCCTCCCAGTCCCTGTTTTAAGCTATTTACCAGTCCAAACCCTTCCCTATGTTCCAATTGCCCCAGCAGATTCCAAAGTCCATCTTATCACCCTGATCCCCTTTGAGGGTCAAATGGGACCTCCACATGAGAAAGAGCATTGTACTTGGTGAAGCAATTTGCAGCAACAAAGTGGTGTGCTTTGATCTCTGGGGAAACACTGAGATCTGCCTGGGGACCCCTCTCTGTTGGCTGGACACCTTTGCCTTCATGCAAAGGAATGGGTTTAATGGTAGGGCTTTCAGACAGCTTTAGGGGCCTACTGGCAGAACGTGGGACACAGTGAGACCAGAATGTAGTTAATCAGAGGGTACACCTGTTTCTGTAGCCACCCCAGTGGAAGAGGGAATCAGCCTTGGGTCAAGCAAGATGGGAGAACTGCATCATTCTTTCTTCTGGGATCATGTGGGAGCAGTGAGTGGGGCTGAAGTTAGAGGTAGACCTGGTAGAAGGGGATTTAGCACCTGCAGGCCCGGGTTACTGCCACTTGGTTGGTATGTGACAGCACAGCATCAACTGCCTCCCAAGATGATGCAAAATGGGTCATCACCTACCCTCCCAACCCCAATTTTGAGAGGATCATGTCAGCTGAGAGCAGCAAAGACTGAGGCGCGGTCCAGCCATGCAGGTTAAAAGGGCTTTCATAGCATTATGTCATCTGAGCCCTCCCAGCCACCTCCTGAGGTTGGTATGACAGGGTTTAGCTCCCCTGCCAGTAATGGATATGGTCAAACATGGAAGGAGTTGATACAAGTATCGTGGAACTCAGGGTGCTACCTCTCCCAGTGGACATAATGCATATAAAGATGCATGTGTCCGCCCAGGCCTGGTGGCTCAATTGGTTGGAGCATCATCCCATACACCAAAAGGTTGTGGGTTCGATTCCCGGTCAGGGCACATAGGTTGTGGTTCAATCACCCATCGTGGGTGCACGTGGGAGGCAACTGATAGATGTTTCTCACTCACATCAATGTTTCTCTCTTTCATTCTCTCTCTCTCAAAAAATCAATAAAAATGGTGAGGGTTTAAAAAAAAAAAAAAGG